TATTTTTTCAAATTTGGTTTTTTTAAGAATGTGTGGTTGAAAAAGAATGAAATTTTTTTTATTTATGTATAATATTATTTTATAAAATATTGTGTGGTTGAAAATAAGAGAGACGAAAGAAAAAAGAAAAAAAAAAAAAAGAGAGAATGAGGTCCAAACGGAGGCTTAAACTTTATATTTATAATGAAATTGAAAGCCGAAGTCCGCAATGCCGTTGAACCTTGTACCTCGTCATAAAGAAGCCCACGACCGCTTGCCTGCTAGCGGTTTGGTTGCATAGAAAAATTGAAACTTTCCCTGTGCTTTGTACTATTTTTTTCTATTTTCTCGATTGGTACAAAATGGAGCAAAATAATTGATACTTTTTTACTTTGCTTTCAAATTTCTGAAGATAGGAAAAGTGGGTGGAGGTTCATATCGAGGTATACATGAGGCTCTTATACCAAAAATCTCATTCAGATTTTTGGGATGAAGTGTTTTTGTTTTTTACGCATTTAGTATGACATATAAGGGTTGGCATTTATTTAATGAAGAAAGTTAAGAAGGTCGAGTAGGATCTTAGGGTTGACATCTAGGTTTTACTTGATCAAGACCATTTTGTCACGAGCATGATGAAGTTAATCTTTAAACTAGATCTCATAAGGCATAGCACATCTCTTCTGGCATGAGTTCATTGAAAAAATTTCAACTTTCAGATCACTACAACGTATTTTTCTGGTCACGCATTTGTGTCCACTCTTTCCATTATGATGAATAATTGAGTGATCAAATTTGCGTACTCTTGTACTTGAGCTGAAGCTAGCGCATTCAATGCAATTTTGCATGTGTTTGATGCTTGAAAACCGAAATATGAATAGAATAAATGCATGTTACGCTAGCCATCGGCAATGTTGACCCATGCATGTTAAGCTCTTTGAAAATGTGTTTATCTTTATAAAAATATTTAATGGTACTTTTCGAATTAAGGGGCAAAAAAAATAAAAAAATAATAGGAATGCTATAAAATTGAGATGTGAATAATTTTATTCATTAAGTTTTCAGACTGTTTTAGTTTTTAAACACAAGCAAAATATTTTTAATTTTTTCTTCGCACTGTAATTAATTTATATATATATATATATATATATA